GGGTTGACGAGGGTGCAACGGGGGGACGGTACGGGACGGATTCTTTTCGCACGATCTCCTGAATATCCAACGGAGTTTGCATAAATAACGAATTGTTGAATAACGGCCGCGGACGAAAATCACCGCGCGACAAATTCGATGAACGCGTTATCTCGCGAAGGCCGACTCGCAAATGCGTGCTCGACGATTCGCGAGATTTGCATTTAGAAAATGATATGTAGTTAGCCGGTCTACGCGGCTCGTTCTACCTTCCCCGTTCCCCGTCCTCCGCCGTCGTCTCCCGTATCAAACGGAATATATATCGCGGCGAGCGGATGCGGTTTATTGAGACGCGCATTTGCATACCGTTCGCAAAAGGTCTTCCCTATAAAAATTCAAAACGATCCTTAACGAGATTAAATATCACTGCTCAGGAATGGTGTCAACGAGTCCGACGTAGGACGGCCACTCGGTGGTCAATAATCTTGCGTGCGATTCTTCCGCATTTTCGCGGACCGTTCGCTCCCTCCGCTTATATTATAGTTTCGCCCTTAATTTTTCCGATTCGGGTTAATCGGCATCCGTGTTTTCGGGACGATCGCCGTTCGATGACAATCCACGTGTCGGGGAATTAAAAAACAGCCGGAGACGGTCTCCCGGCGCGACGCTGATTTTCGCGGACCGTCCGCCCTTCGCTTATATTTCCGCCCTTAATTTTTCCGTTTCGGGTTAATCGGCATCCGTGTTTTCGGGACGATCACCGATCAATGACAATCGACGTGTGGAGGAATAAAAAACAGCCGGAGACGGTCTCCCGGCGCGACGCTGATTTTCGCGGACTGTCCGCCCTTCGCTTATATCTTCGCCCTTAATTTTTCCGATTCGGGTTAATCGACATCCGCGTTTTCGGGATGATCGCCGTTCGATGACAATCGACGTGACGAGGAATTAAAAGACGACCGGAAACGCGGTCTCCCGACGCGACGCTGGAACCGTTCTATGGAATTGCAATTTTGAAGTTAAACGTCGACGAGACGATCGAATTTATTCGATCTGCTCGCTGTTGTTCGCATCGAAATTCCGCTTTAGCTGTGACAGCGGCTTACTTGACGACAAGTTGTGACATCCGTTTCGTCAGGACATTAACCTGGCAGCGTAGACAGATATATTATTACAGCGGACCGTGTAAAATCTGGCCGAGACACGCGCATCGGCGAAAATGAAATTAAGATATCGGAAATAATATGGGAGACGATGGAGCAGAATTCCGTTCCATGAATGCGATTCTAATTCGGAATACGTTACATCGACGAGGAGATTCGGAACAAATGAAATTACAGCATCGCGAGCAGGCCGTGGATCTTCGTGCGAATCTCAGCCGCGATTCGCGATGAAAATTGTATAATTCTGCAGACGCAGAACGCGCGAACCGATGAAATTCGCGAATCTAAGAATCGGAGAAGAACGTCGTTTCTAATTTGCAAGTATGCCCGAAATAAGAAACGGACGAACGCGTGACGACATCTTCGCTTCGGATACAGTAATGTCTCTTTAACTGACGCTTTTATTGTGCACAAAAATGGACAATTTGGGAAGAGGAGATGCCATTGGTCGAGCCTTGCAGCTCGTTTCTATAGTTGTTGACAATTCGCGACTATAAAAATGAGTCGCGAGGCTCGTATCTTCCCTTCCCAAATTGTCCATTTTTGTTTACAGGCCGAGGGACGATTGGGGAGAATTTATTGCACTATATTCCTATAATGTGCGACTGTATCTGCGACATAGAAAATTTCTGAGCCGTTTGCGAGGCTCAGGCCCGTTCCGCAAGGATCGAATAATCGTCTCTCTTCTCCCTAAATCGTCCATTTTCGTGGACGATCTGCGCGTCGATTAGAGAGACATTACTGTATCTCGAATTTCGCAGAAGCATGCGCCAAAAACCAGCGGTCTCTCGAACGCCGTCTTGGTTTTGATAAATTCGCAAACGCCTTCGGGGGTCCGCGATCCAATTACGCGGCGGATAGATTCGATCGACAACGGAATTTCATTCGTCAGCCGGTGTGAGTCATCGGTCGGCGGGAACAACCTTTGTCATCGCACGCCTTCTTCTACGCGTAACACGACGCCCGGATTGCCCGGGTGATTGATCGGTCGTATCCGCGGCCGGACAGACGAAGAAACTCGGCGAGCTTCGGCTCGATCGCGATTGAAATGTTCCGTGGATAATTGTGCAGAAAAAAGGAGCCGGCGGCCGGATCGCGAAAGCCCTATCCGAACGGCGTCGGAGGCGCGCAGGTAAACGCATTATCATCCGCTGACACACCGGCGAGGCAGCGAAGAAGGAGGAGGAGAAAGAGGAGGATGAGGAGAAGGAGGAGGGCTGGCTGGCGCGCGCGGAATAAGGTTTCGCTTTGTTGATCGAATTCGCTGTAGGCCAGTCAACACAGCTAAACTTCCTTCGTGATTCCGCGCAGCGACAAAGTGACGGTGAAACGAGCAAATTGGCTTTCTTTCGTCTTACTCGGAAACGCCATTAAACGGCGTAGCTTAACTTCGTTTCACTGGCCGCTTTTTCGATACCGTACTCGTACGATTTCCCCTGAACCCCTCGCGATCTCCTCGAGCCGGGCTCGTCTCGGCCGCGCACCGTTTAACCCTTCACCCTGCCGCGGGCGCGCACAACGCGCGCTCCAACGACGTGGACACCGACCCTACGGGCGCACGAAATGTCGCCCACGGGTGCTGCTAAAACCTGCGGACGCCAGCCGCGCGGGGTGCCGTCGATCGCGTTCTCGCACTTTGCAGCCGACCGATCGACGCGTAAACAATCGACCCCCCGAAGGCGCGTCTACGTCTACTACCGAATCGCCTAACGAGCAACAACGAATCCAGACTGTGATGACCGCGTAGCGTCACCGCGAGGTCGCACTCTCTGGGACAGGTGACGGATGTAGACGCGCCTTCGACGTCCCCCGATGCCAGCGAGCGGTTTCGCGCGATCAAAGCCCCGAACGACAGAGAACCGTCGACAGGTTCTGCGGGAACGATGGGAACCCCGGCGAGGATCGCGACGAGGATTCGGATCGGCGATCGGGCGAGGTGAAGCGTAAAGAGTATCGTCGGATCGTGAGACTCACTTTCAGCGCGGGGATGTGGTACACGGTTAGTCCTCAACGGGACCAGCCTCTTCCGCCGAAGTCGGTGATCCTCGAGCTTCGGACGACTTCGGTCTAGTTCCAGCGCACAATTACACACCGCGGGGAACGGAACCGAACACACAGCGTTACCGACGCGGCCGAGATCGTCGATTCGACCCTCAAAGGAGGGCTGCAATCGGGGTATACATGATACCCCCTATATTCTCGGTATTCCGCGAATCCCGGTCGCCGTTTAAGCAGAGAATCCCGGCTGGTCCGAGAGCTTGCACACGGAATCACGGCCTGCGTCGACTAGCCGTCGAGAGAGAGATAGAGAGAGAGCGAGATTCTAGCAGAGCCAGATACAAGACTGGTCTACCTTCGGCCGATGGGCGCTCTGCGTGTTTCTCTTCCGTGGATCGAGAGGCCTCCTCCTCCTCTCTCTCTCCCTCAGTTCGGACACCAATAACTCTTCACTGATCACGTCTGCACACTCACGGTACCACAGTAAACTCTCACTTTGCGTTCACGCACTGGGGGAGCGATATATCAGGATAAATCAGTCCGCCAAGACGGTTCCCTCCTCCTTCAAGAATAGAACGAGTGAGCGAGAGAGGAAACAGAGAGAAAGACAGAGAGATAGAGATAGGTAGATAGATAGAGAGAGAGATTGCGGGGGAAGAGAGAAAGAGAAAGAAAGAGAGACAGAGAGTTAGAGAGAGAGAGAGAGAGAGACAGAGAGACAGAGAGAGAGAAAGATAAAGAGGTAGACGACACGCGTAGAGAAACGAAGACAGAGGGACAAGCGAGACAGCGGAGAGAGCGAGAGGGCGAGAGTTTCTCTTCTCTCGCGACAAAAGTGTGTCACGCGAGGAAGAAACCACCACCACCAGCACGGATCGAACGAGTCCGCCGAGTCGTCGAGTTACGGAGCTCTCGCGTAAGTGTCCTCTATCCCTCGGTGTTGTTCATCGAGACGAAGCTCTGCTGCTGCTGCTGTTGCTGCTACCTCTGCTGCTACCTCTGCTGCTGCTGCTGCTGCTGCTGCCTACGCTCTCGCTCGGGTCAAGCGGGGGCCGCCGCGCACACAACAAGAGAGAACCACCCCCGTGTCACGTCCCGTCCCGTCTCGTCTATTATCGTCTGGTCGCAAGCGGTCGTCGAATAATACGTCGTATATCCTGACTCCCTGCCGTGACGTGTCACTGAAACACCACCGGATCCGCGCGGTGCACACGACGACGACGACGACGACGATGTCCGCACGTACCTGCTCCGCGTAGGCTCCTTGACCGCCTATAGCTGGTTGGTCGGCTAGCTGGCTGCGTGGCTGCGTGTACGATGCGTGCGCGTATGCGTGTTTACGCTTCGCGAGCGTGTAACGTCGGGGTGGCTCGCGGCGATGGGGCGCGAGCGAATCGCGCGATTCGCGGCGAGGAAGGACGATCTGTCGCGCGCGCGAACACGACCGCTGATCGGCGATGCCACGGCCGTGGTCGGACGGAGAGCCGGACTTTTACTTCGTACCAGGGACCTGGCGACGACACACGGGACGAATTTTTCGCTAGAACCCGATACACGCACCAGCCCTAGGAGAGACCCTTAGGCCGGATCCGCGGAGTTTCCTTTCACCTCGATTTTCGGTCCCTTGCCACCCCCGCGAGTTGCACAGGCGCGCACCGCATTCAGAATTTCCGAGGCTCGGGTGCCGCGCACGTCGCCAGGAGGGGGGCGCCTTCTCCTTCCTGCGCACGCTCTATCTCGCTCCCTCCTTCACCCTCTCGCCGAGCCTCTTTCTCGCCCCGTGCTCCCACGAAGCCGACGGAGTAGCTGGCGCTGCTGCGAGGAGGGTGAAAACTACCCCGCGACTATGCTTTCTTCTCTCCCTCTCTCTCTCTCTCTCTCTCACGCTCTCTTACGCTTTCTTTCTCTGTCTCTCTCTCGCTCGCTCGCTTTCAGCCTCCACGCGGGACGGGAATGGGATTGGATAGGGGGCGAAGGTGGAGGGTTTCGCCTCCTTGGTCGGAGGAGAAGATTCTACGGCCACACGACTTGGAACACCGGCGCGGCGGCACCACCAGCCGGCACGCACTAGTACTCTGACAGCAGGCCCGTAGGGTCTACGTACTTTAGGATTTGCGCGGACCGACGAGGTTGCCTCGTGCGTGTGCGCGTGTGTGTGGGGCAGTTGTACGTGCTGCCGTGCCACTATTACCACTACCATCGGCCGTTGTCGCTGCTGCTGCTGGTGCTTCTGCTGCTGGTTCTGGTGCTGCTGCTGCTGCTGCTGCTGCTGCTGGTGGTGGTGGTGGTGGTGCTGCCGTTGCTGCTCCTCCGCTAAGCGGCGTGGGTGTGGTGGGGTTGAAGGGGGTGGCGCAGGCGTTTTGGTGCACCGACGCATTGATCCCTGGAATTCGTAGGGACGGTGACTAGGGCCAAGCATGTGTCCACTTTCGATGCGAGACAGAGAGGTGCAGAGGGGCCACTCGGTGAACAGACCGAGAGGAACGTTCGAGGGTAGAAAAGAGGCGGCTGCCGGACGAGCGGGGCACGGCGGGGCCGGCAGTCGGTGGGGTAACGGTGGGAGGGAGGGAGGGGGGACGGAACAATGAGGTTGAAGGAGAGAGGAGCAACCGTTTTACTCGTAGCCGATGTCCACACCTGCAGACCGTTCGCTCGGTCGGGATGCGTTTGAGGATGATGGAATGTCGGCTCGATTGAAAATCTTCCGGCGGCCGGCCTCGCGCTAACCCCCCGGACCAGGCAAAGCGTGCTCGCCGTGACGCGCCGCGCGTGTTCGCGACGCCGAGCGACGCTGCGACTAGGATTTCCCAGATGACGGATAATGATGATGGATGGGAACGAGGATACTTGCCGCCGCTACCGCCGCCGCCGCAGCCGCCGACGTCGACGTCGACGTCGCCGGGCTCGGCGATACGCGGCGAGGGGTCGAACTGGTTTTTTAAAAAATTGCGCAGGGAATTTCGATAATTGTGCGCAGGGGCGGCGCGGTTTTCGTCCCGTTGACGAGGATGGATGTCCTCGATGAAAACGCTGAAGCGGAACGCGGCCGTGATTCATAGCGATCCTCCCGGGTCGGAAGAGAAAGAGGGAAAAAGAGGGAGTGAGAGAGGGTGAGGGGAAGAGAGAGAGAGGGAGAGGGAGACAGAGAAGCGGAGGAAAGAAAAGGGAAATATATCTGCGGCGATATTTTAAGACTCGCGGAAACTTTTCCGCCAGCCAGCGAATATCGCGTTTTAATCACCGGGAGACCGGAGGACGCAACAAGCCGCGATTTCCTTGCAATTGATTGGAGAGCCTGCGGTGGGGTAGGGGAGGGGAGGGGGGAACGAATCCGTCCGGTTGCTTATTTAAAGAAGGCTCGGCGAATGGATAGGCTGCCGGTTTAAGCAGAAGTTAGGCGGATGATGCTTTCGCCGGGGATACACGGATGCGTACCGATTCGTGTGCATAAGACGATGTAATCACTGGAACTTCGTGTATAAAGACGTTCTTTCGATGGAAATTAAACACGCGCCGGAATCTAATCAAACATCGAGGATTTCGCGCGTTTCTGTCTAGACTGTGGGGCTATTTGCGAAACGAGAGATCGTCCGCGTTTGTTGCAACAATCGGGACTAGCTTGGCAACTCTTTACTTTCTTTGATATAATTGTAGCTGGTCGATAGCGATGCATCGATACTCTTCGATACGCTTTCACGCTTTGAAATCTCTCTTCCCGGTGAAATCTCAGCCAGCCGGTTTTGTCGCGAATGCATAAAATCCGCAGCCCCTTCGCGACGAAGCCAAGCAATGCGACTGCTATGATAAAATCGTTGTGTAATCTGTTTCAGCTTTTTGCAACTTTTTCGGCAGCAGCTGCGTAATAGCTGTGACTGGACTTCCGATTTTTGTGTGTTGCGTTAAATGTAGTTGAAAGAAATACAATAGGTTACGCAGTTTGTTTAAATTGAATATTATTCGCAATTCGTTGTGAAGACACTGAAGTCACGGACACAAGAAACGAGCCTTTACACGACTCTTCGATATATATATATATTTATAAATAAGAAAATTCATTATTACACGAAACTCTATAGTCTTGCCGGCTTCTTCACCAAATATTTAAATAATACAAAAAATCAGCAATATTTCTGATCTTTTGCTGCGCACAGTAATCAAATTATTTGATTAATTATTTGATTATTTATATCATTATTAATTATATTATTATCATCGTATCTGTTCGAATAAGTCACACAATTCAGATGTCAAATGTGTTCATTCGTCCTCGAAGGGTTAATTTCATCTGATAAATAAATCCATCGAAATGTCAAACCACAAAACGAATTCCGAAAGAAATTGTCTCGTCCTCGGAGCGAAACTGGCTTCGAAAGCGAGAAACAACAAGCGCTAAAATCGCGAATACAGAACAACGGAGGTTCGTTAGAAAGTCGGATCGATCTAACAGGTTTCTATCGTCGAAAGATTGAAACGTGGAACGGCGATTGATCGAGGAGACGCAGCAAACCGAATCCGTCCGGTTGCTTATTTAAAGGAGGCCCGTAGCCGATCCATTCGGCCGTTTTCATAACGTCTAGCTCCGGAGCTGGCCGGGCTCCTTTCATTCGTTTCCGACGCAAAAATCGTTCGTTAATTAAGAAGGTTGATTCGACGGGTCACGGCAGCCCAAAGAAGTCTGTGTAACAACCCCGAGGGTGGTCTGGCTCGATGGAATCGGCGAGGATAGGGGGTTGCACGGCTCGCAGAAGGGTGGAGGGGGCTAACGCCGGCCTCGGTGTACTTTTCTTTCAGTAGCGATCGTGGTTTTGCCAATCCGGTAAAAGGGTCTCCTTCAACGCCTTCAACTCTCTCTCACTCTCTTTCTCCCTCTCTCTTTCTATCTCTCTCTCACTCTTTCTCTCGCTCTCTTTGCCTCGAATCGAATCGATTTTACGATTCGTCCGATCGTCAACGCGGGATCCGCGAGGCACCGTGGGTAACGGTGAAACGCGCCGACACCGGCGATGGTTTTCTGTAAAATATTCAGGCGCAGGCAGCGTACAGATATATGTGCCGATAGTGAATAAATAATAAGGCCGAGGGTGATCCTCGATCGGTTCATAACTCCGTTCCGTTTCGGTGCACTGATCCATTCGTCGATCTCTCTAACGAGAGTTCCGTACTCGAAAAGCGTAAGTTTCCCCGGCGAGCTTATACAGGATGAAAATTTCAAAATGAAAAGGGGAAGGGAGTTGAAGAGACCCGGCCTGAGAGCGAGAGAGAGAGAGAGAGCGAGGGAGAGAGAAAGAGGGGGGAGAGTGGGTAAGAGCAGCGAATGGAAGCAGGGTGGAGAGAGTCTCCATAAATGTTCAGGACGCTGCTACCAGGAGAATTATCCATCTGTCTTTCAAATGCACCAACCGTATTAATAATTCGTTCTCCGTGACTAATGCGAACACGCTCCGGAACGTTTTCTTCCCGCGGACTTTGTTTGCCGACGTTATTAGGTCTATGAACGGACGCTGTCGTTTTCCCTCGCTACGCCGTTCACGACGTTGTAACGCCGCCGAGATAAGGGGATTTATTTGCGGCGTAATTGTTATCTGGCACCGTTTCCCGTTTTACGCCCGGGTTCGGGGATCGCGATCGCCACGAAAATTTACATTTTTTAATGCGACGTCGCCCGCGGCCGCCGCCTCAGCCTTTTCCTCGCGGCTTTTTATCAAGTTCCAGGGGACTTTCGTAATAACATAAACCAAAGGCAAACTGATATTGCGGATTGTCGGACGGGAAATTACTTCCGAGTTTATTTAATACTTGCCGCGTTTGCGGTGTCATGAGCGGCGCAACGTTCTTTCTTTTTTTTATTACCATTTTTTTCTTCTTTTTTTTATTTCGTTCCCGTCGAGCCTTCCCCCTCCTTCGCCCCGCTCACAATATTCCGCGTGGAGACGTTGCAGTTTTTTGCGAATCCCGCTGCTTTGTAGTTTAATCCGCGCATAAGATTACGTTCTTTCGCGTTCGCTGTCGCATCAAGAGAGGAATAATCCACTTTGCGTGTACTTCGCGTTACAGCTGTAAGCTCAGACCCTCCTGGATGTTCGGTTTAAAATACGTCCGTTTCCGCGCGTTCTCCGCGCGCGGACCTTCCTTTCTTTGTTTTTTGGTTTTTTTTGTTTTTTGTTCGCCAGCCGGATATTTGCGATCTGACGGACGGCGTACGCTTATTCGCGTCAATATTTCGAATTTTGCGAATTCGATCGTCGTTGATTTTTTTTATTTCAGCATCGACTTATTCGGTTGCTGCAGCGCTGTGCTGTTTGCACCGAGCTGCGTTGATATCGAATGAACGTGTCTACATGGTACCAAAGGCTATCATTTACCGGCAAATAAAAATTTATTTTATTTTCTAGCGGAGCCTTTGACATGAAAATTCTGGTAACGGAAAAGACGTCTTTATTAACGCTTTGCACCGCGATTCCTTTCGCAGCCCCGTTGATCAACGCTCTCCCTCGCGCTTAGCACTGTGCCGTCCGCAGATCTTAGATATGATTCTTTTGTTCGACGCCGGTATAATAGCTTGGAAATTTTAGATTAAAAAAAAAAGTTCGAAGACGGCGGTAATATA